TTCCCTCTAGTTACAAACTGTTAAAGACAAAACCTGCGGATAATGGAACTGCCACAATAAGTATTCAGTTTGAAACATGATGAGAACTGACGCTCCCTCTTAACCATTGTTCTTTTTGGTTTTGTATTTCCTGTTATAATGTCGGGACGACATTTCTGTTGGAGGGGAGTGTGTTACAAGTAGAATGTGAGGGACTGGGCCCAGCCCCAGGTTACTTATTATTATGGGATCGAAAATCCCACGCGTTGGAGAGAATGAAAACGAAACGAGGATCGATGAGAAAACGTGTTGTCATTGTAGTTTTGTAGTAGTTCCTGTGCGAGATTGAGTAGAGTGTAACATTTAAATGAAGGTTATTTACTTACTTACTTACATGTACACCTGTTTGGAAACTGTGGTAGTACATGATTGTATAATCATGTAATTTTTAAAGTTCTGCAGACACTGTCAATGCATGTACAAACATGGTAAACAATTGTTCTTGTATTCTCAGTGAAGTTGCTAGTACTTTTGACACCATTGAGAAGCAGTTTCTGTCCTGTTTTTATTGTTCATATGGTACTCATCAGTGGATAGAGACCATAATAATTTGGTACATCAAGCACTAATATTTGCTAAAGATTTACCATGTTTCACATGTACTTCTAATAGAACATGTTGTAGCTGGATACTAGTGGCTAGACCAGACTAACATGTAAGAGAGCAAAATTTGTTATACTGGAAACACATTGATTTGTTACTTTCAAGAAATGTTGAAAACAACCATTTGCATGTACATGTTTCTGAATGAAAGAGATGAATGCAGTCATACACTGTAGTTGATCTCTTCTTTGATTTAGAACTCTTTTGTAAATTTGTGCTCCAATGTTCATTTCAGGTGAGCTGAAGCTGCTGGAAACCTTAAATGTTTCTTGTAACAAGTTGTCTTCCCTTGGTAAGTGTTAGAAAGACACACAAGTGATAAGTTGCCAAGCGTAATTACCCTTATGCACTGTGTATGCATGTGTAAACAGGTGCTATTACACA